GTAACTGCTTCAGTAAAATCTCACACACTTCAGCTATGAAGCTGAACACTGGACCAGTATCACATTTTTCCATACTTCAACTTTGCTTGACTTGATTGCTCTTATTTCTTCTGAGGAAGATGAAGGAAATGAAAATGTAATTGTTTGGGAAGGAACAGCAGGAACACATTTCATCTTCTAAACATTTTTTCAGTCACAGTCTGATTCAGTTCTCAAAAGTGTGGGTAGGAGGTGCTTCTTCCACACATCCCCATGTGTATTTAAAGAATAAAGAGGAGAGCCACAAAGATGATCAGAGGGCTAGAACACCTCCCCTACGAACACAGGCTGAGGGAGCTGGCTTGTTCAGCCTGGAGAACAGAAGCCTGAGGGGTGCAGCCTTTCAGTAGCTAAAGGGAGTCTATAAACAGCAGTCCATAAACAGAATAACAAGGATATCCTTTGAAAGGATAGATAACAGCAGGACAAGGGGAAATGGTTTTAAGTTGAGGGAGGGAACATTTAGCTTGGATATCAGGGGGAAATTCTTTACAGAGAGAGTGGTGAGGTGCTGGAACAGCTGCCCAGAGAGGTTGTGGCTGCCCTGTCCCTGGAGGTGTTCAAGGCCAGGTTGGATGAGGCCCTGGGCAGCCTGGTCTAGTATTAAATGGGGAAGTTGGTGGCCCTGCCTGTGGCAGGGGAGTTTGGAGCTTGATGATCCTGGCGGTTCTTTCCAACCCAGGCCATTTTGTGATTCTGTAATATCCACCATTGGAAGGATTAAAGGACTGGACATCATGGCTAAAAGTTTGACTGTACAGCAAGTGGTCTGCTAAAGATTAATTTAAAGCATGAAAACAATAGCCATGCTTTTCTAACTTCTAACTAAGCATGAGGAAAAACAGTGAACAACAAAATATGAATAGAGTCAGCATTATGACAGACTAAAACAAATATTTATTGAAGTCTAAGGCTGGGAAAATTAATTTTCTGATTTCTTTCTGAGTTTAGCAAACAAAACCAAAAGATAACACCTAGTTAAATAATACTGAGCTTCTGCAGGATCCATATCTAATCACACCATAGTCAAAATTCTTTTTTCCTAAAAGCTGCTAGCAGTTTTTACAGGGGTAATCTTTTGAAGCAATAATACTCTTTATCCTGCATTGCTAGGTGATCTACAATAAAACATCACTAGTTAAACATGCCTGAGAAACACCTCTCACACATTAATGAAATATTGAGCTTTAATATGTTACCATAACAAACAGTAAGTGCTACCTTAGAAAGAACCTTTCTTTGGATGACAGCCTGCATATGCTTTTTACTATTTCTACTGTTTTCCACACAGTAAAATTGGTCTTTCCAATTAATAATTACTTGTAGAGAAAATTTAAGACTCTAGCTTTGCTCATTTTCTTACTGGTTTGTAATATACTCTTTTTCAGAACAGACAAAAACCTAACGGCACGTACAGCAACAGGAATTTTGCTATTCATTTAAATGAGGTTAGAGTTTAATAACTTTGGATACGCTTGTAAATGGCATTTATTAAATAAGGAGAGATCCTCTTGTTCTGAATATTGTATTTAAATCATCATATTTAATGATCATGGAAGAGATGCTGACCTTGTGTTTCAAACAGTTTTCTAAGCCAGCTTTCATAGCTATTGAACATCTAGCATGATTTTTTTCCCTTTACAGACCGTTTTCATCTGTTCAGCTTAGAACTAGAATCACGAGGATAATTACAATGCAATACTCATTGCCATGCCTAAAGATGGATGTAATGAAGTAGGTCATATGGCATGGCTGTGCAACCATTCAGAGGGACCTGACAGGCTAAAGGAATGGCCCAACAGGAATCTCATGTAGTTTAGTAGTAGAATATAAGTCCTGCCCATGGGAAGAAACAATTCATGCACTGGACACGCTGTGCAGCCACCAGCTTGAAAACAGCTGCATGGAGAAGGCCTCCAGGAGGACAGGTTGACCATCAGCCAGTCACGTGCTCATGCTGGAACAGCATGCCAGGCTGAATCCCGCAGGCAGAGCATAGTCAACAGGTGGAAGGAGAGAATCTTTCCCTTCTGCTAAGCAGTGGTGGGACATGTCAAGAGTAGTTTGTCCACTTCTGGGTTCCCCAGTACAAGTGAGACATGGACAAAGTGAAGACGTCCCAACAAAAGGCCATGAAGACTATGAGGACTGAAAATTCTGATTCAAGAGGACAGATTGAGAGAGCTAGAACCATTCATCCCCAAGAAAAATGTGCAGAGGGATCTTATCCATGTGTACAAAGATCTGGCGGGGGTAGCAGGCACAAATTTAAGCACATGAAATTCTATTGTCCATATTTGTAGGGGTCCAAAGAAAGGTTATGGAGTCTCCATCCTTAGTGATACACAGAACCCAAATGGATGTGGCCCAAAGCAACCTGCTGTAATTGAGCCTACATTGAGCAAGGCTGGATGACAAGGCAATGTCCAGAGATCCCTTCCAATCTCAAGAATTCTCAGATTCTGAAGTTTGGAAGGGGAATTTTGTAAATTCTGAATAAGATTTATGCAGATGAGACAGTGTTCTGCACAGCCTCTTCTCCACTGCTGTGTCCTGTGTACATGCAAGTTCACAGTATCGAGCTGATATCCTTATGACAGAGATGACTGTCATTGACACTGCTGTATCCTAGTGAACATGTCAGTAGAAAGTGAAAGCTACATCAGATCACCTGAACATACAGAGTAAGCAAACAGACTGCTTTATCATTAACCATTTTGTAGAATTCAGAACCAAGGATAGTGTGCTGTACTGTGATTATTTATACCAGATATTAAATGCTTGCTACAAAAAGATGGAAAATATGCTGAAAGACAATAAATATCACATGTATGGCAGCATTACGAGCAGTACGTACCACTTTTAAATGTTATGCAGTATACTTTTTAACATAGTGTTTATTTTGTGGCAGTTGTAGGTTAAATCAACAGCAGAAGAAACAGAAGAGAAAATAGCGTGAGGAAAAGAAATAGATGAAACAACCTCCAAATGCCTTTGTGAATTTAACTAAGACACCGAAAGAGCAGCCAGCCTCAGGCTCAATTTTCAGACAAGTTTTAGACTGCTGCATTTCACTTCCTGAACATGTCAGCTTTCGATTTTGGCCCCGAGGAAGGGAAAAGCAGCTGTCAGAAAAAAGACTTGGTTTGCCTCTGACCTTCAATTCAATTAAAAAAAAAAAAAAAAGAGCAAAACAGAGCCAGAAATGAAGCAGCAGGCTGTGAAACGTGGTCATGTTGCTACATCACCCCAATGGAATGCCAGCACAAAAACTACCTGCCAAATCACACCCAGGCCATCAAAAGCAGGTGGGAAAAGTCTGAAGTAGAAGAGGTAACACGCTATATTATGTAACCAGTTGGTACTTAACAGGATGAGTCCTAACTGTACTACTTGGGATCTTGATTACAGATTCTAAGGGGGGGATGAACTGCTTATTAAGTCGGGCACCAGAGTACAGACCTCACATTGTTTTTGGAGGCTAATATCCCAAAGTATTTGAAAAGAAAATGACACCCACCTTTTTTTCTTTCTGAAACGTCTACCCATCATACCGTAGCGTTATGGCTGCAGGCTCAGAACTTCACTAAGGCAATATACGCAGGGAACAGTGCCAAAACAGGTCAGCCCATCTAGTCCCATCTGTTACCTTCAGCGTTACTGGTAAAGCGAGGATCTCACTTAGGATCACATACAGAATCACACAGAACTGTAGGGGTTGGAAGAGACCTCTGGAAACCACTGAGCCCAACGCACAACTGATGGGATGCCTATTAACAGCTGGTGGGGCTCTAAATACAAGAGATAGATGTATCTCCCTGTGTTTTTCACGTTATTACTTACAGTAAGACTAAGCAATAACATTTTATACGCAGCCTGGCTGACGTTCCGTGCTCCGTAACCTGGGATCAAACGGAAGGATTCCGACGACTGCATCCTGAACAGCACAAGGCGAGAGCACGGCAATATTTTACCGGAATTAAAGAAAGCGGTCACAGCAGCCACTCGAACTCAATCGGGTAAAGGTTCTAAAGGTTCCACGCTTTCGCGGTGGCACATTCCGGCGCATCCCACGGGGGTAAAGACGGGAGCAGAAACGCTCACCCCGCCGAGACGCACGCAGAACGGCGGGGCGCTGGGAAGGCTGGATCCCGCCCGGAGCCGCGGGGATGGCAGCGGGCCGGGCGCGCCTCCCCGCCGCCGGCGACGAAAGTTTCCCGGCCCCCCCGCCTCCCTCGGCCCTCGGCGGCAGCTCGCCCGCCGCCCACGCCCGCCCTCCCCTCACGCTCCCCCCCCAGCCGACCCCTCACCTGGGCGAGGGCGAGGGCGAGGCCGGCGGCGGCTCGCGGTCCCGCTCCATCGCGGCGGGCGGGAGGGGCCACCCGGCGGCGGTGACAGCTCCGGGCTAGGTGAGCGGCGCCGCCACTGAGCAGGCGCGGAAGCGGCCGGAGAGAGAAGGCGGGCGGCCCCCGCGATGATGTGGCCGTGATGCGCCGCAGCCGCCGCCGACCGCTCCGACTCGACGGCGGGCGGGGAAGAGCCGAGCGGCAGCCGCCGCCCCGCTGAGAGGCGTTGAGGGGAGGGCGAGGGGGCGGCCGCTCCCCGCACGGGGGGAACAAAGAGGCGGGGGCGCTCCCTCGGTCCTCCAGCGCCCGTCTGCCTGAATCCGCAGGTGGCGGCCGGGGAGCTGCGCGAGGAGCTGATCGTCAGCTCCAGCGCGTTGGGAATGGTGGTGGCGATGCGGGACTCACGAATGCTCGCGCGGGAGCAGAAAGAACGCCGCGGGTGTGTTTGACCCGTTGAACCGATGTGAGGCCGAATGGGGCGGTTTGCCGGGGCACATCGTTACCGGAGATGAGACGCGGTGCGCCGCGGAGGTGAGGGGAAGCAAAAGGAACCTTCCCGCCGCCAGCAGTCGGCGCCGCCGGACCTCGCGGAGGAAGCGGTCCTCCCGGCCTGCAGGGGGCGCTGCGCCGCGGCGGGCGGGGAAGGGAGAGCCCCACTTCCGGCCTGCGGGGCGCATGGCGGGGCTCGGGCAGGCGGCGCGGCCGGCCGCCTCTCAGGAGCTGCTGGCCGCGGGGCGCCGCGGAGGTGAGGGACCGAGGGATCGGTGTGCGGGGCTCCTCCGGGAGGGAGAGCTGCGGGAAGGCCGCAGTGTTTGGTAAATGAATCCTCATCTGTTTAGGTTTGGCATAGAAGGGTAGGGAAGGAGCAGCAGGAGGAAAACCTCGCAGTTAAAAATGTGGAGTTTGTGGTTGGTGTAGGTAAACGTGTAAATACCTGTTTGTTTCTAGGGTTGGAAGAGACGTTACTGATTAGTTCAAAGCCTGGCAGCAAGAAGGCTACGACTTTACAGACTGTTAGGGTGCCGAGGAGTACTGGTAAGTGTAACGCTGTTACTAGAGCAGTGCCAACAACTAAGTGGTTTATTTAACGGAACTGAACATTTAACACTTGAACAACTTTAACGTATTTTTGCTTCCATGAATCGTCAGATATTCCCTTGGTTTGGTAAAGGGGGGAACTCATTCCATTTCTATTTGCATTGGGTTCTTAGACAAATTTATCCATAGACATCTAGCATTCTCTTTGGTGTATTCCTAATGTAATGAAAAACTGATATTCTTTAGAAATTGTGTTATCTTCGAGAATTTTTCCCTTCGTGAAAATAGACCAAATATCTTTAGTCTCAGACTTTTGTTTCCAGTATAATCAGCCTTGCTGCTTTTTGTTGAGCTTCTTGTATCTCTCAGATGTAATTTCTCAGCGTGAAATATTTGCTACTGTGGTTGACAATTGGGAATTACAGTTGAAATGGAATCTGTTTAGACACTCAGATTTCTGAGGTATAAAACTATAAATAAATGTGTCTGTGTGTGTGTATATACAGGTGGTAATTATTTCTGTTTCAGTTTTGGACAGAGTACAGAGCTTTTTACCACAGATGGCTCATGCAAATGATGAGCTGAAAAGAAAAATGGTAACAGCACCAGCTCATCAGTTTGATATTGAAAATCTCGACAGTGCCACAGAAAAAGTTATAGAAATGGTAAGTAATACGTTTTTGGTTCTACTAACTACATTTTTGTATGATTAAAATAATCCTCTGATCTTACACTGAGCTGGTTTGATAAATAAGGTGGAATCTTTACCATTTTATTCTGCGATCTGCAAATTCATAACAAAAGTAGTAAAACCTTTTTGAGGTTGAAATTTACTGCTTGGTTTTCATACTTGCAGAATATAATGGCTAAGGATGAAGCAGATTAAGGTCAGAATAAGGTATTTTATCTTTTGAATTGTAAACTCTGACCTGAAAGTAAATTGCTAATTCTATTTTAAATGTAGGAGATTTGATTTCAAAACTGGACGTTGTTCCTAGTAAGACATAACAGAAGGCTTTAATATAATAGCTTTAGGTTGAAAAATGTTGTGTTACGATCTTTTACAGCTAGTATTTACAGTCACAGCAATATTTTCATTCTGTTTCTAGCTGAAATGATATGACCACATGCTCATGTAGGAAAATTTCATTATGAAAGTGATGTGATATACGCGTATCCCAGACAAGTGTCTGCTGGTCTGTAAACCCACGAGAAATAAGGCAGAAATGGGGCAGACAGATAGTTTGGTCTGCAAGCTCTCAGAGCAGCTGCTTGGATGCTGGTTAGATCATAGAATCATAGAATGGCCTGGGTTGAAAAGGACCACAATGATCATCTAGTTTCAACCTCCCTGCTATGTACAGGGTCGCCAACCACCAGACCAGGCTGCCCAGAGCCACATCCAGCCTGGCCTTGAATGCCTCCAGGGATGGGGCATCCACAGCCTCCTTGGGCAACCTGTTCCAGTGTGTCACCACCCTCTGTGTAAAAACAAACAAACAAAAAACAACTTCCTCCTAATATCTAACCTAAACCTCCACATCTTAGTTTAAAACCGTTCCCCCTGCTTGTAGGCTGTACTCAATCTATGTGCAATAAGTTGTCAGAAAACAAAATGGATCCTAAAAATTGATTGTTGTAATGTGCTGATGTGGAATGAGTTGGATTTTCAAAATATTTTTCATGTGGCAGCGTCTGAGAAGTCTTGGCTTTATAGTAAACAAGCCAGGAGATAATAGCCTCATGTTATTTGCAGATCATGGAATACATTTATTTGCATAATGTATGTGTATTTCTGAATGTTGTATATTTTATATTATAAATATTTTGTATAAATATATATTTGTGTATTTTGCCTTGCAGCATGCAGGAAGTTTTTGAGGTGGGGATCAGCAGTTTAAGACAGATGTTTTCAGGGAGAAAAACAGGCCTCAAAAATTATAGCTTTACTTAAGAAAATATATGATCACTTTTGATTCAGAGAATATACTGGACATTTAGACTATTTTGCAGTAGTTGTAGCAGCAAGAATAATACCAGATTATATGAATAACATTCATAAATGTATGCATTTATATATATGTATAGCATGACCTCTTTATACTAACTGGTTTAAGTTCTTTATCAGATGCCTCCTGCTCATTACTTTAGATTTTGATTTAGACTGAGTTCATCTATTTCATTTCTCTCTTTTATAAGGATATAAAAGTGCCCTTGTATTTGCTTTGGGTGATAAAAATTACAACTTAAATATTTGGGAATCTGTTTATGATATTTGCCTTAGTCATGTTAGAACCCAAAAGTCTAACTGTGGTTTTCATATGGTAGTAGAGATGATTTGTTTGCTTTATGTTTTAATCAAATGATGGGAGCAGTACAAAAACAATATCATGTGTTAACTAAGATCTTTTCTTCCAGAACGTGGCTGTAGTTGAACTGAGTGATTCTGATACAGATGAAGAGAATGTAACTTCAGAAGATGACTCAGAATCTGAAGATGACTCTATAACTGATGAAGTGACAATAGACAACATTAAGTTTCCTCAACCAAAGGGAGAAAAGGGCAAAATAGAAATTTTGGACAGCAAAGTGAATGAGTGAATCAATCTTTATTATACTTTAAAAAAAATAAAAAAATCAAGCAAACAATGTTTTCTTACTTTGAAGACTTAGCCTTTAAATGGCCTTGTTTCTCCATGTCAGATTCCCCAGGATCCTGTGAAATGCTATCGTTTACATGGTGGAGAATTCAGGATCCGCTCATGACTCTGAAGCAAGCCGCATCTCTGAAGAATTAATGTCTTATTCAACAAACAGCATGAAAATTCCAAGCTTCCTTGTGAAGTTAGACTAAGAAAGCAGCTACAAGTTGGAATGTTTGAACAGAAAGGTGTTCTGCTAGTTGAGAAAATTCTTGTTCTCTCGTTTTGTTGAAGATTTTTGTAGTGTGCTTAGAATAAAGTTTTGTTTTGAGGGCAGGAAAGAAATGACAAAGAAAAATCTTTTTTTATTATGTCCTGTAAAGTGTTAGTGTACAATGTCTTCAATATTAAACATTACCTTAAAGTACATTAGAAGTTGTTTGTATGTTGCCATCATGATAGTAACTGCTGAATACCAAACCAGCAGCTGAGGCTGTTTCAAGATGAGGTAGCACAGGTAAGGAAAACATTTTAATAAGCCATGACTTGAAAGAGTTCAACAAAGAATTACTTATGCTTCTTGGCTTGCACTGAGTTACAGGTAGGTTGCTGCTGTTCCCTGAGCTAGCTCCTATCTGCAGTGTTTGGGTAAATACCCGTGGTAATCAGGTCAAGTGTACCTCTGTGGTGTTACAGTTGCACTAAGCCACGCTTCTCATCTGCTTTATCACATCTCTGCTCTTTCCATTTTGTTAATTGTCACTACCAAAAGAATCAAAAAGCTAATTTTCAGTTGGCCTCTCCTCAGGCTAGCTTGAAACAATTGTGAAACCATAATCAGTGAAAATATGTCTCACTTGTACTTACCTCAGGTTGATGAAATACAATTATTTGGGCTGCTGTATTTACTTTACAGATTGTTTTGTGTTTCAAAAGTATCTGTGGTGCTCCTCTGTACCATAGGTTGTTTCTTAAAGTACTATTTTCTATTTGCTACATCATTAATATTTTCTGTATTGTATTTGCTCAGATATTAAACTTAAAAAATAATGAATCGAAACCTGCAGTTATATACACAACTTGTTTCAAATCCAGTACTTAATTCCAAAGTTTTCTTTTTAAGACCTGTTTCAGTAGTGTTTGTGATAAGAAATTACAAGGATTCTTTTCTTTTTTTCCTCACAGTATAGCTTCTTAAAAATGGAAGAGGGGTACAATTTATTGAAATCAGCTGGTTAAGTCACAGAATATTTTAGGGAAGAGGAAGGATAGGATTCAAGAAGTGGGACTGCTCTTTTTAATGGCAGTCCAGAGATCAGAGAAAGCTTTAGGTGGAGGTACAGTGTAGGAAGAGCAAGCAGCATTAAGTACGGTCTTTTTGTTCTAAGATCTTCACTTCAAACTGAAGAAAATTTGAAAGCCAAAGTCTTAACTCAGTCATTTTACAAGAGATTTCCCCGTAGATTTAAAAACGAAAGACATATGAAAAATAGCAAGTAATAGTCATGCCATGTAGAACAGTGATAAGAGTCTCTCTGCACCAAGTGATTTTAATCTTTTAATGTAGCCACTTCTCAGATTGCAGGCTGATCACACGTTCCATTTCAACAAAAAGATAGAAAATATTTTCAGTAACTTTAGCTTGGTATGCATAGTTAACATGGATGTTGAACTCTGTATGTACTATACAAAGATCATAGTAAGTGCACTTCCTTGCATTGATGAACTTCTTATGGCACAAAGGTTTTCTGTACTGCTGACGAATCACCAGAGCAGAATGTGAAATTGCTACTGTAAAATTTGAACCAGTTAATAGCAAAAATGACATAATATGCATATTTTAGTTCAATTTTAGAAGAAACCTAAGAACTAAGTTTTAAATGTTCATGTAAACGCGGTCACACAAATAAGAAGTAGGCATGTGAGAACTTTCTATTCAGTTGTATTTTTTAAAAATAAGCCAAACTACTTTTTTATTTTTGGCTTGTGCTAATCACTGCTACTGTTGCTGGATCATTTATATCGTGTCAGGCTAATTCCCAAATGCTTCTGTCTTTCAGTGAAACTAAAATTTGGACCTGATTTAAAGAAATTTTCTATGGAGTGAGTGTATTTGTTTTTTAGTTGCAGCACTGCAGATGGCATATCCCAGGCATAGTATTAAGTGCTTCATGGAGCCTTTAAGATTAAAACTGCCGAAAGTTTAGTTTCCAAGTGAGGCTGTTAATACTCCACAGTGACAGCCTTCGTTCTAAGATATTCATGAAGAGCTTCTTCACCTGTACAAGCAAATATTAACCAGTTAGAATAGTGGCTAAAGGAGAGAAAGCTGTCGGGAAGGTAAACTGTATCATTAAAATAAATTCATGTTTTAGCCAACATTTGAGTCCTTGAGACGCGATGAGAAACTAATGAATTTACTCTCCCTTTAAGATTTGCAGGACTGGTTTAACAAGAAGAGGCCAAGTCCAACAAGTATGGAAAGCAAATGCAGCTGAATTTTAACAAGCCGCCACCTGGGGGAAGTACTGAAGCAGCAGCAATCTCTAGGTGGCAACTTGTGCGGGGGAGCTCGGAGCTGAATTTAAGAATTGGTTTGCCTATGTTAAGTTTCCAGGTTTAAAAAAAAAAATTACTTTTTTTAAAATATTTTTTTTTCCCCTATTAATAATTTTGATGAGGGGAAAAAAAAAGGGGTGAGGGGGCTAATACTTGCTAGGGATTCCAAAGGCAGAAGTCTGTTATGTTACTCTTTGCCATGAGGCTTGATCTGTCCAGTCTTGTAATAAAATGAATAATACTGGAGGTATTGAGGTGGGAACTGTAAGGACAGGAGAGGAATTAGATCTCTGTAGCTGGAGGAATGTGGGAGATGCAGGAAATACATCTGTAGTTTTCAGGTAATGTTATTTTTTCATTGACTTGGACTGTCAGATGAGAAACAAGGGAAGAGAACAACTTACCTAAATCTTTTCCAAAGCCAGACTGTTTAAATCCACCAAATGGTGCTGCCACATCAGTTTTGTTGTATGTATTAATAAAAACTGTTCCAGCTTCTAGCTTTTCACTGATATAGAGAGCTTTGCTTATGTCCTTTGTGAAAACTCCTGAGGCTAAACCATATTCTGTGGTGTTTGCCCGTTGCAGCACTCCATCGACATCCCTGGGGGAGAAAATACTGATTTAATTGCTAGGAGGTAAAACAAGCAAGTGCTAATGAGCTTTGACCCTCAGTTTGATAGAAACATCTTTTCCCATGCTCCTTTTCTTCTCTTAGCTGTTACAAAGACACAGTTTAGTCAGGACTACTCCCTATGTCAGTCTGTCTCATTTATGGAAATTCATACACTTGCTTCAAACTTGTAAACCATGTGTTTGCGTTTCAGTGTTTAAGATCTACGCTAGGAAATGTCAAAAGAAAGCTGCATTATGCACACTTATCTTCACTCAACTACATTGTACATCTTGGGGATCAGAAGAATACAAAATGAATTGTAAAGCAGAGCTTGGCAGCACATTATGAGTCAGTTTGCTGAAGTCAGTTAATGGAGAGTTAAAGCTGAACCTCAGCTGTCCATTGTGATGCATCATTTCAAGCAATGTTCAAATTGTTATTTCTGTCCAATCTCAATTAATTTTAAAAATCCATATGTTAAAATTTCAAAAACTTATTATAATCCCATATCTCCATACATAATTTGTAGGTGTAAAGGGGTATCTGTATGGCCAGTTCCCAACTTCACACTACAGAAAAGAGAAACCTGGTGGAAACAGCTGTATGACATTTCTACATAAGGCTGTTAATCTGTTTGTAGAATAATTCCTATGATATAAAATGAAAGCTATTAAAACTGGCACTCCATGAAATACACAGAGGGATTTTCATTTACAGGAGTAATGTGCCAGCCTTAGACAATGCACAACACTGTTATCCTTTTTGTCCACCGGAAAAAATGCACCTTTAGCAATTTGATCCAACCTCTGCGTTTGTATCAACTTGAGTAAAAATCTTTCATTGAAAATTGAGTCTTATTTAAGAAATGGTGCTTCCTACTCCCTCGCACACTTGTAACAGCATTTATTCTATTCTGACATGGAGAAGGACACTCATACTAGAAAACCTCTGAATTTAGTAGGAAGAGGACCTGAGTTTCAGCTAGAGCTTAGAAGATTGAAAGAACCATCCAACACATTTCAAACACAGGGTGAAAATGTGGAGAATGTACCCATTTTTAAATTTGGAAATCACCATCACAGGACCAAAGGATTCTTCCTGGGCAATGTACATATGGTCTTCAACATCTGTGAATACAGTGGGTTCCATGAAGAAACCTAAATGGGAGATAAAGCAGCATTTGAGTGAAGACAAAATGCTTTGTGGTTTGTATTGTACAGGCTATCTGTACTTGATGTCACAGATAGACTGAGGCTTGAAACAGAAAATACCAGGATCAATAAGAATTAATTCTGAATGGTGATGCATGTGTATAACAGCAGAAAGAAGGCTAAAAGAATGGCCTTTCTTGAGGGCAGTTAACATGTGGGTCATGTCTAGAGCAGAAGGCCTGCATGCCACAAGGCCAGGCCACTTCTCAGGGGCAGATCCTGCATTCTGGCAGCAGGAAGGCAGGGTTACAGGATGTCAGAAAGACCACTGCTTTTCTTGTTACTTGACAAGAAGATAGCCATACATATCTGTATCTTCCAAATACAAGAGAAAACTTGCAATGGGCAGCAACTTTGCCTACCGTTTATTGAGGTTTATCTGAAACAAAAGCTCACCTCATAACCAATGTTCCTTTCTAAGTAGTATAAAAGACCTGTCTATAAACTAGTTCACATTGTTGCCAATCAAGAACTGATAGTGTTAGACATAAGTGATTTTGGGTATCTAGACCTACATGAGTGAGTATATTTCAGTGTGAGTGGATAAAGCCACCTTCCAGTGTTTTGTATAATCACCTTTTCCTTCCTGTATTTGTTATAC